CAGAACCCCCATGACCAACAGAAAATACGGGGAGGGTCTGGTGGGCATTGACCTTGAGTTTTGGAGTTGTAGTTCACCTACATCCAGAGACCAAACAACGATAGATCTGGACCAAACTTGGCACTAATACTCAATATGCCCAAATGTGAACACTGTTGGAGTTTGGGGAAAACAGACCTCGACATTTGCGAGTTGTCATTGCTGGAATTTATAGTTCACTTACAATCAAAGAGCATTCTGAACTCCACCAAAGATGGAATTTAACCAAACTTCCCACACAGAACCTCCATGACCAACAGAAAATACTGTTTTCTGATGGTCTTTGGTGACCCCTCTGACACCCCTCCCCTATGACCCACCCAGGGGTCCTGACCCCAAGGTTTTGAAACGCTGATCTATATTTATTTTAATTGCCTTGTATTGTGTCTGTTATTGCTTGTATTGATGTATTGTGGGCTCGGCCTCATGTTAGCCGCTCCGAGTCCCATGGGGAGATTGTAGTGGGGTATAAATAAAATATTATTATTATTATTATTATTATTATTATTAGATCAAACTACAGCTGGTTCTATAATGCCATATAATGCAGATTGAACAACATTATTATTTATTTATTTATTTCAAATTTTTCTATACCGACCTTCTCACCTCTTTGAGGGACTCAGCCCGGTTTCCAACCATAAAAACACATACAATCAGTAAAAATATCACAGTTCACAATTACAGTAACACATTAAAATAGCAAATATATTTAAAACTACGGTGGTCAGTCGTCATACTAAAATCGAATATACATCATCTTCCATCCAAATCTTAGGGTGTTATCTCATTCATCGAAAGCCTGTCTCCATAACCACTAGGGCTGGGCGGTTTCGTTCGTTATTTTCGTAATTCGTTATTAATTCGTTTTTTTTATAACGAAGCGATATTGAACCATTCAGGAGCAACTAAAAATCGAAACGAATTTTTCAATTCGTTTCGTAATTGTTTCGTAATTGTTTCAAAATCGTTTCGAAATCATTTCGTTATTATTTCCGCATGTCTGGGGCAAGTTTTATAGTTGTTGTTTGTTTAATCAGTGAAAAAAAATTATTATCACACCAACAGTCAACAACAGAGGGAGAGGGAAGCTTCAGAAGTTCCCCCTGTCCCATTTGGAGGTTTTTTTTAGCGTATTGCGCGGTCGCATCTGCCATTAACGAATCAATTCGTAATTGTTTCGTAATTGTTTCGTAATTTCCGAAATTTCGTAAATTTCGAACTTTTTTAAAGAAAAAATTCGGAATTCTTTTAAAAATCGAAACGCAAAAACCCCCTAAAAACGAATCGAGTTTAGAAACAAATTTTTCCATGGTTGCCCAGCCCTAATAACCACGTCTTCACCTGTTTCCTGAATGTCAGGATAGACGGGGCGGTTCTGACCTCTGGTGGGAGAGAGTTCCAGAGTTGCGGGGCTACCATCGTGAAGGCCCTGTCCCTCGTCCCCACCAGACGTGCTTGCGAGGCTGGTGGGACCGAGAGCAGGGCCTCTCCAGACGATCTTAATAATCTTGATGGTTCATAGGGGAGAATACGTTTGGAGAGGTAAACAGGGCCGGAGTTGTTTAGGGCTTTATAGGTTAACACCAACACTTTGAATTGTGCTCAGAAGCTAATTGGCAGCCAGTGGAGAATTAGTAGAATCAAATAATAGAGTTTGAACTACATTATATAGCACTAGAGTTCAAGATGTGATGAGACAACATTCCAAGGAAATTCACAAACGATTATTACTGGATAGAATGAAGAAGGCAATGCAGGTGCTCTGTATATCCCAATGGAGCTGCCACACATCCTGAACACACAATGGAGCTGCCACACAACCCACCAACAATAGAATTGGACCAAACTTCCCACACAGAACCCCCAATGCCTTTAAGGGAATTGCTGGTGTGAACCTCCTTCCAGCCTCGCATGCTCTCTCTCACCCACACATGCGCTCCACACTGCTGTGCACCAAGCACGCCTGCTCTCCCCTCTATACTTGGAGTCTCAGAAACAGCTCTCCCCTTGGCAGAGAGGCCAGCCAATCACAACAGAGGAGGACTTTTGGTGGCAGGATTCACCGTCTGTTTCCAAAAAAGAAGAGAAGGATGGGCAGAGAGATCTTCATCCTTCTCTGCCAAAGGGGTTCCTAGGACCATCAGAAATATATGTTTTCTGATGGTCTTTGGTGACTCCTCTGAAACTCCTTTACTACCCCCCCCCCCCAGGAGTCCCAACCCCCAGGTTGAGAAATGCTGGAGTAAAGGGATAAGGAAATGACTTATCCTCTACTAGAACACTGCTAGAACAAGCTGTCAAATGTACTCACAGACTCAACAAAAACAACAGACATTCCCAATTAACATTCCCTTCCGTCTCCTTCAATCGGGCAAATTAATGGAGATTAATGTGTTAAAAGTCATAAACTTTTAAAGTTGTCCTTTTAAGATTTTAAATTGGAAGCAGCTCCTGTCTTGGCTCCCCCCTCCCCCTCTAAAAAAAGCACACTGATAAATATCATCCCAAGTCCCATTGAAAAGAGATCCACTTGACAGCGCCATGTTTCTAATTAGGGGCACATGGAAACCTCACACCAATCACGGACAACTCAACCCTTGAGATTTCTCCGGGTATGGGAGATTTTCCTCCTCCCACCCATAGTCTCAGTGCAAGTAACAACCAAGCAACTTTTGGGATTGCTGAGCGCAATGGTTACAAAATTAGAGGGGGTCATGATTGCCCAACAAAGAAAGATTTTCCAAAATTATATGCGTTAAGAAGAATTGGCGTTTCCCCAATTCCTGGATAGATGTAACATTCCCACCCTTGTAATCACATTCTAATTAAACCTGCAATTTGTACATATCTGTAGAATATTCACCACTTTCACAATAAGTATGAACTGATAAGAAAATTGCAGCCCAGAAGATAGTTCCGCTCATATGTTTCTGCACAAGGTTCTTGTCAAGAGCCCGTTCACACTACACAACGATCCACTTTAACTTCCAACTGGATTACAGTAGAAACACAATTTTACTATACCATTGTATGAGGGTTGAATGAAAAGTAATGCCTCTACCTTCGTTACTTGGGTTTGGATGGGAATATTTATTTTATTTGTTTATTTACAGTATTTATATTCCGCCCTTCTCACCCCGCAGGGTACTCAGGGTGGATTACATTGTACATATATGGCAAACATTCAATGCCAATTTGACATACAACATATACAGTATTTTAATAACAGGTAATTAAACAGGCAATGTGCTCTTTAATTACCACTATTCACTTTTCCACATAATCACCAGAAAATTGTATACATTTCTGCCAACAATGAACAAGTTTTCTGAAGCTGTCACGGAAGACATTTGCGCGCTTTCATTTCAGGCATCAGCATCCTGGGTACCCATTGTGCACATATCTTCTGATAGCCAAGCAAAACAATAATTGACCCACACGTTCTTATGAAATGCTGATTATGTTTGAAATTTCTCTCTGAGTGATATGATGATCATCCTGAATCAATCTGTCAACCTTTTGCTTGTGAAGCTTGGTAGTTACTGTCACAGGATGTTCAACTCTTTGTTTGTCACAAAAGTCAGATGTTCCCACCTCAACATCTTTATACTTTCTCGCCCAATGACACACAGTACTCACATCAACACAATCACCATAAACAGCTTGCATTCTCTGATTAATCTCCTTTGGGGTGACACTTTCTGCTGTCAAGAATTCAATGACTGCACATTGCTTAAGTCACATTGACCGATTATCTGCACAGGGTTCCATACTTTACACTTTAACAATACAGCCATTCAATGCTAAGGCTTTCCACCAAAGTGGAACTGTAGGGGAGAGTCTACTGAACAAGCCAGTACCTATCACATAAGAGTACTGCCATTTGTTGAGGAGTTACAAAGGTGGAGGCATTAATTTTCATTCAACCCTCGTATATAATGGAATTTCAGCACCAAGGATTTTGGAACTCCTAGAACTAAACGTAGGGATACTGAAAGTCCACCATACATCCCAAGGAATCCTGGGATTTGTAGTTTAGGGTGGGACATTTCAAATTCTCAGCCACTATCACCTCCTCCAACACGATTTCCTAAGGATGCAACCATGGCAGTTGAAATAGCACAAAGGGACCCTTCCGAGGAGATCATTGATGAAACGTTGCACATTAAAATAAAGTGAGGCAGAGATATCCGATGTTTCATTTCAATGAGTTCCTTAGGCCCAAAAAAATATGAAATCTTGGGACTTGTGCATTATGAAGCTGGAGAAAGCAATGCAAAGAGGAAAGAGGAGAGATATTATATGATCCATGGGGAATATATTGCTAGATCCCTTGTGGATAATAGTATATTTTCATATATATATATATATATATATATATATATATATATATATATATATATGTATATGTATATGTATATGTATATATTTTCACTATACTTGGGCCTACCACAGAATTGCACTAGACCACAAATAGTTCCTGGAGGGAGGGGTTATTTTGGAGCATGGAAATCATGGATAGCAAATCCATGGAAAAGAAGGTTGTACCGTTTCTTTTTTGTACAATTACACTCTTTCCCTACCACTCTTTCACCTATCTATTAGTATCTAAAATAGTGTTCCTCTGAGCAGGAACCACAAGGATCAGGAACCACAACTTGCTGGTTATAGTTTAGACATTTGACGTAGCAATGATTTAGTTTCCTGATGCAGTAATTCCCAAACTTTGGTTCCCCCAGGTGTTTTGGATTTCAACCTCCCAAAGTCCCAGCCACCTTAGACAACTGTCAGGACTTCTGGAAAATGAGGTCCAGAACATCTGTAGGACCAAAGTTTGGGAACCATTGTTCTAATTGTTACATTTCACTAACAAACTCTATCAACTCAGCAAAATGAACAATGGAAAGTTGCACGAAGTGTTGAAACACCATATGGTCAGAAGATGCTAAGATGCTTACCTTTAACTCCATCTTTCTCCATCTTTCTTCCAGAGCTGCCATTGGCTCATCCCACCAGTCGGTGCACTTTCGGTAACGTTTACCCTGGAACCAAAATTGCCGTAGCCATTCAAACTCAACCTGCAAAAACACAAAAATAATCTTTTCTAAATGTCTGGTGAGTCCAACCCTGTATACACATTCTGACAAATGATGCAAAATTTATTCTATGAGATCAATATTTGTGATATGGTGGTGTTGCAACATTTGCAAGAGATGAATTCTTGAGAGTTACTAGCTACTAGTTACTCTCAAGAAAAGTCTTCACCTCTCAAACTCCATTCGTATTTTTGAATTTATTTCTCTTCTCGACAAAAAAAAATCAGATCTCAGGCTCATTCAACAGCAAGTTCAATGCGAGAACATGGAGGAAATGCATAATTAAACAGCAGAATGGATGATTTAAGATTAGCCATATTAATATCATTTTATAATAAGATTTATATCCCACTTCTTAGTCGCATGATCCTGAAAAGCCACTTGGAACAGATTGTAATTATATACTCGTATGCACACCTTCAAGACTCCTGTTGATGTATGACAACACTATGAATTTCAGAGATGGTTTGTCATTGCCTTCCAATAAAATATAGCCTCCTTTGCCTAGTATTTCTTGGTGGTTCCCCATCCAACTATTAATTAGACTGATTCTGTTTAGTTTCCAAGAACATGTGGAATTCAGCACCTTCACGGTCCTTAGGTCTATGCATGCACAGAACCAGAACTTGGGACAACCTTGGTCTCTAGGGGTCCTATCCAATGCTTAAACGTCTACAATACATTGTCGAAGGCTTTCATGGCTGGAATCACTGGGTCGTTGTAAGTATTTTGGGCTATATGGCCATGTTCTAGAAGCATTCTCTCCTGATGTTTCACCTGCATCTATGGCAAGCATCTTCAGAGGTTGTGAGGTCTCCTTGTCATAGATGCAGGCGAAACGTCAGGAGAGAATGTTTCTAGAACATGGCTATATAGCCCAAAAAACCTACAACAACCCAGTGATTCCGGCAATGAAAGCCTTCAACAATGTATTGTAAACGTTTGAGTACTGGATAGGATCTCTGGAGACCAAGGTTGTCCCAAGTTCTGGTTCTGTGTATGCAACCCAGTCTACAATACACTTCTCTAGACATTTGTAAGTCCTCTGGTGTGACAATGGTCATTTTCTGCCAGAAGTTGACTATAGAGTACATCTGGAGGACCAAGGGAGTCCTCTCAGGTGAACTACTAGTTCTCTTATCTACTCAGTTCTGTGGAGAACCGATACACAAAACCCTTATTCAACATCACATTTTGCCACTACTGTTGTTGGGAAGGAACAACAAAGCTTAAGACAGTTGACTTCTTAAATCACCAAGTTCAATTCTATTTCTTTGACATAACTTCTTCCCACGCCTTTTTCTTCCTAATCTATCTATATATATATATATATGCAATGATTTGCAGTTCTGGTCAATTAGAACTGTGTATTTATCTTTGTTTTGGTCATTGTGTTTCTCCTACACATGGGCTCAAATCTCTTCTCAGTCTTCACCTGCAACTACAAAGGCATGTCTTCTGTTTACCCTTATATAAACTGTGATGGACAAAACAAAGAGAAACTTGTGAGTAGACCAAGCTTGACCAAAAAGGGGGAAAAAACCAAAGTCTAAATTCCCACCTGAGAATATTCTCTCTGCCTCTGCTCCCCACCGCTTCCTCCTCCCCCAGGCAAAACAGAACAGATACAACCGTCTGAAAGTGATTTTAGTTGACAGTGGCTAAATGGTTGTTTGATGTGTGTAACTGCTTTCAATAGAAGCTCTTTAAACAAAAGAGCTATAGATACCAAAAAAAGAAAAATCCACATCAAAATAAAATAAAAACGACAACTATGTTGACAAAACAGATTGGCAGGATTAGTGGACACCATCTAACAGAGCTAGAACTTTGATGCTTTGAAAGAAAGGTTACACAAACAGTTTTAACTTCTCTTGGTACACAGGCTTAATAATATATGTCCTTTCCTAGTGGAGTTCATCTAAAGCCTATCAATTGTCTACTATTAGTCTAATACGAGAGCCAGTGGAGTGATTTGTGTTTTGGACCAATGCTCTGGAGACCAGGGTTGGAATCAGTGTCCACTAGCTGATCTTGGGAATTTCACATTGAGTTGTTGTAGGTTTTTTTCCGGGCTATATGGCCATGTTCTAGAGGCATTCTCTAGAAAAAACCTACAACAACCCAGTGATTCCAGCCATGAAAGCCTTCGACAATACAAAGTCACATTCTCTAAGCTTCAGAGAATGGTAATGGCAAACGTCTCCTAACAAATCATGCCAAGGAAAGACTGCGACAAAGTTGACAATGTAATTGCAACTAGAAGACTTAGAGGTTCCTAAAAAGATGTAGTCTCTAGAAAACTCTAGGTTCTCAAGTATGACCCTAGATCTAGGGAAATAATGCTACCCCTCTATTCTGCTTTGGTTAGACCACACCTGGAATATTATGTCCAATTCTGGGCACCACAATTCAAGAGAGATATTGACAAGCTGGAATGTGTCCAGAGGAGGGTGACTAAAATGATCAAGGGTCTGGAGAACAAGCCCTATGAGGAGCGGCTTAAGGAGCTGGGCATGTTTAGCCTGAAGAAGAGAAGGCTGAGAGGAGATATGATAGCCATGTATAACTATGTGAGAGGAAGCCACAGGGAGGAGGGAGCAAGCTTGTTTTCTGCTTCCTTGGAGACTAGGACGCGGAACAATGGCTTCAAACTACAAGAGAGGAGATTCCATCTGAACATGAGGAAGAACTTCCTGATTGTGAGAGCCATTCAGCAGTGGAACTCTCTGCCCCGGAGTGTGATGGAGGCTCCTTCTTTGGAAGCTTTTAAACAGAGGCTGGATGGCCATCTGTCAGGGGTGATTTGAATGCAATATTCCTGCTTCTTGGCAGGGGGTTGGACTGGATGGCCCATGAGGTCTCTTCCAACTCTTTGATTCTATGATTCTATGACCCTATGGTCAATTTCTGGAGGACGTTTACCACTGAACTGCACTGAAGGATCTAGAGATTCCTAAATCAAATCTGTACATAATCAGATGTAGAGAAGTCAATCCTACAAATACAGAGGGCCAACTGTACATATAGTTGTCCATCTCCATTTTCAGTCATGGATTTGATTGTCCATGGATTTCTGCATTTGCTGTCACTTTTGCTGCTGCCCAGTTTAGGGAGAGCTATCTCACCGGCCAAAACACATTTTGGTGTCTCAAATGTTAGACCGGTTTCTGGGTATATTTGACCCGCTGATTCCAAAAATAGCATCGGTTTTCCCCTATCACCTCTAGATTTTGAGATACAGAACATATGCCCTCTATCAGTCTTCATCTGTTCACACATAGAACATCATGATAACCATATCTAAGAAACTAGAACTGATAAAGTCTGTCCAATGCAAAGAAGCCCAGGAACAGGTCTAAAAACCAAGACACCAAGAAAATCTCACTAAATATAATTACATGAGTTAAAATCGAATCATACTACTATGAATGTGCAATGCACGTGGACTGGAAGTGCAAGGCTTACAACCAGGTCCACAAAATCATAGAATCATAGAGTTGGAAGAGACCTTGTGGGCCATCCAGTCCAACCCCATTCTGCCAAGAAGCAGGAAAATTGCATTCAAAGCACCCTCGACAGATGGCCATCCAGCCTCTGTTTGAAAGCTTCCAAAGAAGGAGCCTCCACCACACTCTGGGGCAGAGAGTTCCACTGCTGAACAGCTCTCATAGTCAGGAAGTACTTCCTCATGTTCAGACGGAATCTCCTCTCTTGTAGTTTGAAGCCATTGTTCTGTGTCCTAGTCTCCAAGGCAGCAGAAAACAAGTTCACTCCCTCCTCCCTATGACTTTCTCTCATGTATGTATACATGTCTATCATGTCTCCTCTCAGCCTTCTCTTCTTCAGGCTAAACATGCCCAGCTCTTTAAGCTGCTCCTCATAGGGCTTGTTCTCCAGACCCTTGATCATTTTAGTCGCCCTCTTTCTCTGGACACATTCCAGTTTGTCAATATCTCTCTTGAATTGTGGTGCCCAGAATTGGACACAATATTCCAGGTGTGGTCTAACCAAGGCAGAATAGAGGGGTAACATTACTTCCCTGGATCTAGACACTAGACTCCTATTGATGCAGGCCAAAATCCCATTGGCTTTTTTTTGCCACCGCATCACATTGTTGGCTCATGTTTAACTTGTTGTCTACGAGAACTCCAAGGTTTCCCTTGAGGGAAAGCTTTCTATTCTTGCCTAGAAAAGTAGTTCTGTAACAGTGATGACAAGAACAGCATTAACATGAGGAGATGGGCAAGCAGGACCATAGGGAGAGGAACGTAACTTCTGAACAGTGCCAAATTTTGAATGTTCATTTATTATTTCCTCATTCTAAACAAAAGGGTATTTTTATTTCTTTGTTCCTAAAAAGGAGTACGTGTGTCTGTTTGTTTACCAGTGTTGTTCCTTCCACACACAGAGGAATATCATATTTTTTATCCAAAGCACAAGACGTACAAGCCTTCCTCAGCCTGATGAACCAGATCAAGACACAGCGGTCAGCTGAATGGCACTACCCCAGAGTGCATTGTAAAAGCAAGCGAATGCTGCACACTTTTTTTTTTGTCTTGATCTTCTTCTGTTTGCCGCACTGATTTGCCCTGGCATCACAGCAACCCATTTCTCCTCACCCTTTAAGCTATTATTAAAGGCACACTTTGGAGAGGAACAGTCAATAAGGCACGGGAGGGGGGAAAGGCCAACGGCCGCGCCGACTGACATTTGGCAAGCCAAGGGTGGCGGTAGTCCTCCGTCAATTATTGAAAGGCACTGGGCTGCTTAAATGCCACCTAGGCAGGGGAGCTCTATTTCGTCTCTTCAGTGCCAGCTGGGCCACTAACCGGGCTGCCATTTCAGCATGATGCGCTAAACCAGTGTTTCTCAACCTTCGTAATGCCACCACCCCTCAATACAGTTACTCATGTTGTGGTGACCCCCAACCATAACATTATTTTCGTTGCTACTTCATAACTGTAATTTTGCTACTGTTA